GATAGGAGAGAACCTGCCTGCTATGAGGCCGTATCGCGGGAATGATTGCCGTAGTCGACAGCGACTACGGCGTTTTGTCTGTCGTAGTTGTAAAAAAAACAGAAGATTTCTGTGATTTATAGCACTTCTCATTAAAAGTGTATAGTTGTACTAGAGATTTGAGAAAGAGATGGATGGATTGCGTGAAAGGTGAAATGATCACGAAGGGAGTGATGACTGAGATGACGGATGATAGAGTGCTGTGGAGGACGAAAACCTTATGCGTCGACCTTACGGGAGCAGGATAAGGCAGGGGAGATGATGATGATAAGTTATACTAGAGTTGTGAAAGAACCAATTTTGATTCATTTGATCTTAATAGCAATTGTTAGTATGTAAAAGGGCGGAAGTAACTTAAGGAAAAGATGTAAAAAATACTGTTTTTGATAACGTTTGATAACAATTAGGCATATAATAGTAATCTTAGTATAGTAAGGCCTATTTAAATCAAAAATAAGTTTTAAAAATGTTATCTAAAAATTACATACCTAAAAACACGGGTTATAAAATTATTGGTCAATTAATGGTCATAATAAATTCGACGGCACGTGTACGAAAAGGGTCCGTAGCCCACTTTGAAGTGTTCCAGGTACAAACGAAAAAAAGGAATACAACCTTCGCGTAGGGGTGGGAGGTTTCCCTATTCATTTTTTCTGCTCAGCCGTCAGCATAAAACCCGAAGCGGGAACAACCGACTTTCATTCAATCCATGATTGTGAAGACCATCGCAGCTAACGATTCAGTCAACGTTTAATGTACGAAGTAATCTCTAAGTTATAAAATGGCTTATTTAACGAACTATTCGAAAAGCGATTTACACAAATTAGTGGCTATCGCTCCAGCACCGGAAAGAAAACATATGAGTTTGGAAAACGAAACCTATACGAGGTATAATTACAAAAGTGCGAGCGTCGGAGCGCAAGCGGCGTCGATCGCGAGAAGAAACGCTCGCGAACGGAATCGTGTAAAACAAGTGAATGATGGATTTAATGCATTAAGGAAGAGATTGCCCGCTGCAGTTGTGTCGGCATTATCTGGCGGCGCGCGCCGGGGATCCGGCAAGAAGCTCAGCAAAGTGGACACATTGCGAATGGTCGTCGAATACATAAAATATCTACAAGGGATTATCGAGGAAAGCGATGCAGCTATGGGCATTAAGAAAACCGAGACGTTTGTACCAGTTACGTACGAAGATGAAGGTGTTTTTGGCGACAGAAGTTCACCCTATTCTGAATCGGTGCCTTCTCCTGTTAATTCGGAATGTTCGTCTGGCATATCGTCAGATTCTCCTAGTAATGATTATTATATGCATTATCAAAGTAATGAAGAGACGCGGTATGCAAATGATACCGCAATGGACGACAGTGAACTACTCGACGCAATAACTTGGTGGCAACAAAAATAGTAGCAATAATGTGTTAAATAAGTTTGTAAATAGTTTTAACCACTTGATGTGATATCTAGTCAAAAAGTATTTTGTAAAAATGTGTAAATTATTATAATACTTAAAATAGTTAAATCAGTATTGTATAAGATATATAAGCCTTTAACTATATCGTCAATGAGATTAATATATTTTATTAACTGTTAACACTGAATGTTGTGCGAAAAATTACAAATATATTGAGTACAAAAATTAACATTTATTTTATTAAGAACAAACCCAATTTTCTGTTGTTTTTCTGAACATAGTAAAAAGTGAAATGACTAACAAATTCTTTAAAAGTGTTTTAAATCAATTAAAAATCGAAACTTTAATTTCGTGACATTAAAGCCACGAGGCCGTCTTCTGACTTTTGATAGTGATTAATTCTTTTATTTAATTTTATTGGAAATGATGACACAAATTGAAACACTCGATAATGCTAACAATGCAATGGCGGCAGCTGTTTCAAAAGGAATACACAATTAAGGTTCTTAAACGAGATATCTTCGACTGTGAAATCTCGTAGTCACATATAGTCAGGTTTTGATATCTCGAATGATCTGTTGATAACTTAATTAAACTCTACCGGTGTAACACCAACGGGTCTTGATTAAAGACGAGATCGATCTTTTATACCTTATGGAATGTACGGATATCTCTCAGACTGGCTGTTATCAGTATTATGCTAAAAATACTGCAAAAATTATACACAAAGGCTTGATTAAGCCATCGGCGCGCGGTCACAGTGGCTGGACATTGTTATACAAGATTAATGGTGTTCGCAGAGATAAAGAGGTGGGAGTTAAATGCATTTACATGTGCGAAATCGATACTGATAAAGGGACAAAGAAGTTCCCGGCGAATAGGAATCGTTGATACACTTTATTTCTCTTGCAAACGCTGTGTTGCTTGCGTATTTGCGGTTCAGAAAAATTACGTATAAATGAAAGAAGTAAACGACTGGTCCTTTAAATATTTGAATCGCAAACTATAGTTTGAATTGAACTGAAGTTGAAAATGCTAAAGCACAACTTTAGTTAGGTTACAAAATATTTCTATAAATTGCGCAATTGATTAAAATAATTTTAATTCTGAAATAATTACTTACAAATTCATTTATTTAACAGAATATGGTTTAGGCTAGATAAAGTTTTACTACATGTAAAAGCTTTATTTGCTTTAAATTTTAGTTTTGCGCACGCGTGGCTTTGTATAGGTCGCTAAAGATTAGTTTTTGCGACCCACACATTTCCCACTCGAATGTTTCCTGTTTTGTATTGACATAAAAAGTTGAATATCGATACAAAAATGATTTTGGCGAATTCCGGAAACTCGTAACGAATTGGTTTCGATTCGCTTTGTTCGTGTAATCTTATTACTCGGCGCACGTGAGCTTTGTAACGTTCGTGCTTTTTGCGTAAAGTTAACGATAAACATTTACAAATGGATTACTCAGTGTATTCAATTTAAATTTAATGTTGTAAGTTTTTTAATACAAAGTGGGAATTTCGCTGTGCATTGGTAGTGAGATATCTTGCGGTTTTGTCCGTTTTATAAATGCGCACATACGTGGATATTTACAGCAGGAACTTCCATACAGAATTTTATTGTTTCTCTATTAAATGATGTGACAGTTTTGGTTATGTATAAAAATGTCGTATCAGCACTTTACTACTTTTTATAACAAGCAATTAATAGATAGACATATTATTAAAATCTACTAATTATTTCATTAATATGTACCTATTTATTCGATCTGATATATTTCGTATAGACTTTTAAGATAACATCAGTTTAACTTTAGTTTGTCTGTGGTAAACATTGTTTGCAGATTTCACTTGATCCGCGCCGCTCAATTGTGTATAATCCGATATTTACTTCGTGGTTTCTTTTATGCCTACAATGGAATCATTGATTTGCAAGTTTTCAATTATTTTTACTTTCTCTTAACACAATTAGAATTTTTTACGGAGTAAGTTATCTATACTATTATTATAAAGAGAAAAGATTTGTATTTTTGTATATATTGAAAAATCAAAAAGTACTAGGCCAAATTCCAAAATTCTTTCACCATTAAAAAGCTACATTATCAGCAATAAACATAGGCTACATTTTTTTTAAAATTACACGGGTATGAAATCGAGATCAAAAGCTAGTATGCAAAATAAGTTTTATTAATAATAACTAAGAAGCAGTATTATTAAAAAAAAAAACTTATTTTTACACACATGAGTTTCATAATTATCGATTTTAAAGACGAAATGTTATATCCTAATATGAAAACGCCGGTGGCTACAAAAGATATAATTAAACGTGAGTACGGGACGTGGCCGTCGTTTATGCAAATGTTTTATGGCCCTCTCGACTGTCGCACCGGCTGAGGAGAGATTTATTCGTATACACTTGTACTTAGTGTATCAGACAGTGGGTGGGAAAGTTGTAACCCTACTTAATTATTACCTATATTTATATTTTTATCGAATAACTAGGCCTATTATCAAGTAGGCAGGTCACGAATCCCTTCTAGATATATAAAATTTATAGAGCGTGTCGTCAGTTTTTTTTATTTTCAGTTAAAATAAACATGCTTAATTGAATTCTTTGGATGTTATGAAGCTCAAAAAAAATATAACTTAATAAGCGTCAAGTACAAAAGTCTTTAACAAATCCTGTTAAAATTAACGAACACATGCGAATGTTAACTTATAAAACAATCTATCAAAACGTAATTGAAGCGTTATAACGAAGTCCTTTGTTTCTGTATGTTGGTAGTAAGAATTAAGGCTAGCGGCGGACTGGGTTATAAATAATTGTCGGATATCGGCTTCCTTCGGCCGCTGGGAACTCGCTTGATAGATGCATTTAGGGTCAGGAGTATCGATGTTACCCAATCGACAATCGTGTGGGTAAAGACATGGGCGCCGCGCATAAAGTACATTGTTTTTACATGTGTCGTGATTCTTTAATAGTCCTTAGCAGTATTTTTTGGTTGCATGAAGTGTATAACTTGGTCAATGTAATATAGATGTATATGAAATTATGTGACGTCAAAAGTGCTCTATGTTTTTAGGAAAAGACGCGTCGCCTATTATTTCTCTTTGTTATTAAATTCCATATCTAAATTAAAAGATACTTAATTTTTCTATTTAAGTTATAGTTTAATTACGATTACTTATTGATCTTACTTCATAAAAATTGTTAAAACGTGCCCTTATTAGTATTAATTGATAATTATAAACACTTCTAGTTTATTCATTCATCGACAAACAACATACCATTTACCTAACATAGTAAACGATGTTAACGTACTATTACATTTTTATTCTTTATAGATACGAAAATAGTCGAAGTTGTTACATCTGTCTATGACCAGTAGCAGTTGCGGCGAAAAGCAATTACAAGTTATGATTAGTTGTTATACGTGACCACTTGACCGCGAATTTACAAAGTATCGATTTACTTCTTCTCTAAATATGAATGGCCAGTGACATATGATATCTATTTAAAAACATAACTACAGATAAATAATATTCATTTAGTTTTTCAATCGCGAATAATACTTCGATGTTACAAACTTCTTGAGTTTTTTTTCTTAAATCGGAAGAACATTTGTGATGTGCAATTTGAGATAGATTTCCGCATGAAATGTATCAAATAGCTAACACTTAACTGAGGGTTGCAACATTTTTTATCTTTTCCTCGACTATTATTTCTCTTTTGCGGTTTCATTTGAAAAGTTCTCGCATTTTTGAGTTGTTGAGATTTTAACTACGTAAGCATAAAAGGAAATGTACAGAGTTTTTATTAAAATTACAAGAGGTTATGTCGGCATCTTTTATATCTTTTTAAAAATATTATTTTTGGGATACAAATGCAGTACACGTTTTTATCAACTAGCTAAAGAATTCTTAGATAGATAACTCTTGTTTAAGTGTCTCCCTAAGTCTAAGACAAAATGAGCTTATGTGACATTTAACGTTGTTGAACGGGCTGGAAAAATTATAACCTAAAAATAAAAATATTCCATTGTTTTTAGATTACATAAACAGTGTTGATTTAAATCCCATGAGAACAGAAATCTGTTTAAGTGGGCATGGCGTGCGTAATGTATTCATGGAATAAGGAATTAGTAAAATAAATTTGACATTTATCGTGACCACCGTTATTTTTATCGGTCTACACTACATTAGTGTGACTTTATAATTATTGACATATTATAACTGTAACTTTAAGTGCAATTAATTATGTGGTATTGAAACTTTGTGTATAAACATAACACTGTTACGAAATAAAAATGAAAGAGCAAATAGGTTGAGTTTTAAACTAAAAGTTTTCTGTATTAATAGAAAGATAATTAATTGAATGTTAACCTGAAATTATTTGATTATGAAATAAAGCTCTCGCGTTATCTTACTAATCTTACTAATATTATAAATGCGAAAGTTCAGATGGATGGATGTTTGTTAGCGTTTGTAGCCTAAATGGCTGAACGGATCTCCATGAAATTTGGCATAGGTTTAGAACATAGTCTGGAAGAACACATAGGCCACTTTTTATCCCGGGAATAGTTACGGTTCCCGTGGGATTCATAAATTTAGTCTTTTAATGTTTACCCGATCATTCTGCAACGGTTCAAAATATCTTATTGAAATTTGGCATATATATAAAACAAAGTCTGGAGTACACATGGGATAAGCTTTATCCCAGAGAAATGTCCGGTTCCCGAGGGATACGTAGTTTTTTGTAATTAATATGTTTCGTATGTTTTCTAATACCACGCGGACGAAATCGCGCGCAACAGCTCGTAATAAATATATTAAAAAGGATACTTATTACGTAGTTAATACATTTGTAGTGCCATTCCTTGGTATAAATATAAAAGACGTTCTATCACGGGTATGTAAATATTTTTCCCACATGAATACGCACACATGCGTAAAACATATACGGTAAAAAAGGCACGTAAAAAGGCATGAGAC